ATAACAGTTTCATGTCTAGATGCAACGCTGTTCAAATATTAGCCATAGATATAAGCTACATTGAGCATAATTTTAAAATAAGACCTAATTGTGTAAGGCTCATTTTGTAGCACTTGTACAAATTGTTGCATCTGAGAACAAAACAAAGAAATGCTGAAAACATTTATAAATGTTTATTAGTTTATTTTATGTGTAAAATATGTTAATATAAACATTAGAAACATAAAAAATAGGATTTGTTGCAGCAATTAGAACAAAATGTCCAAACATTTAAATTCCTTTAAAAATATAAAGAGGTGTTCCAGTACTATTTTTTTCTGACCAATTACAAGTATTTCAGTTTGGGTATTGCCAATACTACCAAGTTGTTAATCAGTTAGTAATTAAACATTACACAACGATTTTCAAAACACATTTCTTTTATCAAGAATACAGCAAATGGTCTGCTGTCTTAACATCACCTACGTCTATCTTAAAATATATCTAATCTATGGACATTTTTGTTTTATAACCAAGGTTACTTGCAAAGTGGAAGTGGAAATGACATCACCCACATTAAAGCAGTATGACTCTGAAGTATTGGAACGTTTTTATGAGTATAAATATGGGTACTCGAGACCGGTATCAGTATAGGGATAACACTAAAAATAAATCAAGCAGTAAAACTGGATTAATTAAAAATTACTAAAGAAATGTTTCTGTGTCCTTAAGTTATATATGATTTCACATTTGTGAAACTATCGATAAGTTTTCATCATTAGACATTAAAAGTTGATCACTGAAGCTAAAGTGCTGTTTTTTAAGTTAACGAGATGCAGTGGTGGCTGGTCAATAGAGGGAGCTAGGGTGCCGCCCCACCACTCACCATATTACTTTGAAGACATAAAAAAGTAAATAATAAAATAAACATATTTTGAAATATATGTAGATATTTTTAAAATTTGTGTAAGATAAATATTTCATAGTTAATGATGAGTAAAGTTGTTTCTATCAAAAACGTCTCTGATTGATGACATATTTCCACCCTGGGGACACAAGAATATATAGCCTCTCGTTAAAAGTTGTACATGCACAGTAGCTCCCCTTACAATAGGAGAGATAGGAAGATTCTGGGCGCACCACTCCTGCGCTCAGATTTAGAGTTACATTAGGGCCCAAAAAATCTGATCCTGCCCAGTCCCAGCCCGTAGGCATAATTTCCGAACCCCACCCGACCCGACAAATTAACAGTGATTACAGGTCAGAACCCGGAAACCCCCCCAACATTTTTAATTAGTATTAATGGTTGGGGACGTGCAGCTGAATAAATGGGGCAGAAGATTCGAAGATGAGAGGTGTTTGTACTTTCATGGCCGTAAAAAAAATCATTTAAACCCGTTTCTGCCTGCATTCTTCTGATTTACTGAGACATGCAAACAGCTCTGACACACGCGACTGCTTTGGGATCTCACCTGTTTGGGTCATCGGCTGCACGCATCCTCTGAGTGCAGCGGCAGAATGAACGTCCATTTGGGTGATGGATCGTTGACTGGCAGTACAGTACCGTCTGAAGCTTAATTGAAAATTTTACCTCTTTTAAGGCCAGTCAGCTCACGGTGAAATGGCCGTGTGCGGCTGGTGGATGTATGGCAGACCATGTTATCATATAATTGGATCACGGCTGATCCTGACCTAATTAAAAGCCCGAGACCGGCCCGGCCCGCCCATTAATCACATTGTAACAGCCCGGCCCAGGCTTAATCCATGTCGGTCCGGGCCAGGTTTTGGGTTTGGGTTAGAAATGACAGCTCTACCCAGAATACGGGCGTATGGTACAGATCGTGCTTCAGGTGCCGATGTCATTGGAACAGATATTTTATTCTATGGTCCTGGAACAGATTGTGCAGTGACGCTCACAACTAGGCTATGTTGCAGGTGAGCTTTAAGCCATTGAAAGCCCTTTATCTAATGCCAATGTTGCCATTTCTGACTGATATGCCTCTCAACTTTTAGATGTCTCTGTTGGTGAAAAATAAAACTTCAGCTGACTGTGTATTCCAAAAGTGGGAAGTGGTGAGTTTGTTTGTTTGTTTGTTTCTGGAGCTAGCATGCTAACGCTAGCCTCCAGGTTATTGTATTGAGCTCTGTGTTAAATCAGTGCAATATTTGTTTGAATGTGCTTATAGAAAAAACAATTATCAAACATTAATACTTTCCTATACTACATGTCACTGATGATATTGTTCTAATATTTCGAACACCTGCATTTGTATTGATCTGGATAATGAAAACAAGCCTCTTGCAATAAGCAACTAGCTCCTAGTGTTAACAATGAAGCATTTAAATTGAAGGTACATTGAGATGGTGAAATGCTATTGCTAGTTTGTGTGCTAAGATGCAATATTAGGACCTTTAAAATTAGGAATATTTAAGAGTACTCAAATAATGAGCGTGATTTTATTTTTATTATGAACTTATATTATTATAGTAATGATGATAAAACATGTACATGTATTGCTTATATTTACAATGGTTTTTGATATTGATAAAACCCAGGGTTATTGATTATTAGGTCTGTTTCACATGGGCTAGGTTCCTGTCTGTCACGGTCAGCGGTCCCCGCTGCCCCCCCCATCTGCCAAGCCTCTGCCACCTCCTTCAAGTTGCAACCAGAAACCAACATTTATATCTTCAAACTATCATCCCACAGTCTTAATCATTTCCTTCTATTTCAAGTTTCTGTCTCTGTCTGCTTTTTATATTTTTTATTGTTCTGCTTTGTGTGTGATTTTCTGTTTATCTGTTTCTGTTATGTTCCCCTCATTCCTCAGTCTGCTTCTCCACTCAGTCTTTATCATTCACACCTGTCCCTCATCAGCCACTTGCCCAGGTGCTCTCATTACTAACTCTCCCTCTGTCACATAAAAAGCCTTTCTTTCCTTCACTCCTTGTCCGGTGATTGTTCTATGTTCACAGACATCACAATCCTCTTCTGCCTTGTCTGGTTTCTGCCCCCCTGATGATCTGCTCTGCATTATTTCTGATCCAATCTGCCAAAAGTAAGTTTTGCTGCACCGACAGCCTTTTGTTTTGTTGTTAAAAGAAATAAATTGTTTTGGTTTTTTGAACTCCTGCCTCACTCATCTCTCTGCAATTGGGTTCCAACCTCGAGGATCGTGACACCTGTCTATTGTTGAGAATGGCGAGCTAACCCTAGTTTCGAACCAGAAGATCGGTTGAATCCCCATAACTTTTCCCAGTACAGTAGGAGGTGCTTTTAGCTACAGGTACATTCTCATTCTCACTCTGGACTGTATGTATTATCATGACTGTATTACATGACTGTTACAGTATTATTATGACTGTATATGTATATGTACATATATATATATATATATGCATGTATTTTCATTCATTCAACCTTTATTTAGACAGGTAAATCCCATTGAGCCTCGAGGACTCATTTACAAGAGATGTATGTAAGTATGTATGTATGTATGTATGTATGTATGTATGTATGTATGTATGTATGTATGTATGTGTTTATTTAGGAGTTTTAGCCCCCCTGGAGAAAACTTCACCACTGATGAGATGCTTTTATTGTTCAGCTTGTCAACTTAATTTCCTGCCTGGAACTAAACAAGAGCAACTCGTTTTTGCCCATGGACATTTTTAATTTTGTGTTTGATAAAAAAAAGAGATAAGATTTTGTTTAAAAGTAAGAAAAACCCTCATTCTGTTTAAATTCGTTTTGTTGAAGTCATGAGATTTAGCATCAAATTGAGTGTTTTTATCATTTATGACCTTACCAGATTGACGCTGTGGAAGAGATTGTGCCCAGGAGCTTTGTGTTGTTCCTGTTTGTTGTCATTTCCTGCTGGTTGTAAACACAGGGCTATCTTTAAGTTGTGACATGCATTTTACTGGGTTTAATTCTACACGTTGACCTGTTCTTTGCAACTTAAATTTTTTGTATTTTTCATGCATGTTGTTCTAGATTTGTTAACATACTCAATAATTGTCCACTTGAATGATGCATATAGGCCAAGTTTCAGCTGTTCATTTAACATTTTTTTATACAGGTTAATCCCATTGAGCCTCAGGGGCTTATTTACAAGAGAAACTGATATGAGCTGTGAGATGGTCTTACATTTTTTCCAAACCTAAATAATGTTGCTGTTGTCTTGTTTGAGAGGTTTTCTCTGGCTTGTCATACTCGTTCATTATATTATTTTTTTTTTTTTATTTATAATACAGACAGTTAAGTCTGAGCTGTACACTGGCTCTCAGGTTTGTCAAAGTTTCTTTGAGTTTTACAAAGTGCAATCTTGGAAGGAAACTTCAGGGATGTTCACACTTGGATAAAAATGGTAACTTGATTGGATGATCTACAATTGTAAATATTTATTTTCTGTGAATGAATGCCTTTCTGTTGTTTGAAAATGGTCTTTTAAAACATCCTAGATTGAAAAAAATTACAATGAAACTCTTCCTTCTCAACATTTCACTGCTCCGGCGCCTCTTCCAGGACACCAATGAACCGTGCCTGTAAGTGTGGAATATGCATGCCTTCAAGTAATATTCTTTTCATTTTGTTCTCATTTTACACCTGTTTATGATCAGGTAATCAGTGCATTCAGTAAGTTGCAGCGACATCTTAGAACCACTAAATGATGTTGGGGCCTACTCACTTTTTAACAAAATGCTTTAAAAATGTTGCCCTTTGCAGAATCGCTACCTTAACAATGTGGAGGGGTTTGAGTACACCTGAGATCATGGGGCTATGTTGTCTGGGGCATAAGCCTCTGGTAGGGTCCCCTATGGTAAACAGGCCATGGGGGAGGGGTTGGATTAAGGTTAATTCAAAACCCATTATGGTAAAACATTCAAGGCTCAAAGTTCTTTATTGTCATCACATGTGGTACATGAGGTGGAACGAAATTGTGTACTCAAGGTCCCAGTTACACCCAAAACAACAGTCACGTAAGGAAACCTCACCTGGAAAAGAGAAACTAGGTCACTTCCCTGGAGCAAGGCCTGGTGGGCTGGGGGGCGCTTGCCGGTGAGCACCTGGTGGTCGAGCCTTGGCTCCAGGGGCTTGGCAGGGCCAAGCCTGAAGAAAGGACAGGAAGCCACCACCACCTGCAGGGATCTGTCAAGATCGTGTGCGATGGATGCTGGGCAGCAGGCAAGGAAGGGTTCCTGGGCATTCTGACTCTTGGCTGCATAGATTTGCTCTAGGGATGTAGAACATTACCTCACTGGCAAGTAAAAAGCCAGAGCTTGTGTGTGAGGTTGAGTGGCACCAACAAGATATGGTTGGACTCATGGCAGGAATGGGGATACTCACAAGCCCCTGGCTGAATCCCTCGATGTTGAAGTTTTCCTCAGTGAACAAGAGGCTTGCCTCTCTGCAGCTTTGAGCTGCAGAAGGGAAGGTTTTCTCTATTGTTTGTGTTTTTGTACCTAACAGCTGTTTAGATTACCCTGCCTATTTGAAGTCTCTGGATGGTGTCCTAGAAGGGGTGCCATCTGGGAAATCCCTCATTCTACAGGGTGACCAATACCAATGTTGGCAGTGATAGTTATCTGGAAAGGGGTGACTGGCAGGAATGGCCTCCCTGATCTGAAACTGAATGATGTTCATTTATTGGACTTTTGTGCTAGACACGTGCTGTCCTTAACGAGCACCATGTTTGAGCATAGGGTGGTTCATAAGTGTACTTGGTACCAGGCCATCTTAGGCCAAAGGTGGATGATCAGCCTTTTTTGTAATCGTGTTGTCAGACCTGCATTCCTTTGTCTTGGACACTCGGGTAAAGAGAGTGGCAGTGCTGTCAACTGATCACCATGTGCTGGTGAGTTGGATCTGATGGAGGGCGCCGGACAGACCTGGCAAACCGAAATGTATAGTGAGGGTGTACTGGGAACCTCTGGTGGAGCCCCCTGTCCGTGCAATCTTCAACGCACACCTCCAGGGGAGATTTTCACATATCCCAAGGGAAGTCACTGACATGGAATTTGAATGGGAACTCTATTGCAGACGCAGCTTCCAGGAGTTGTGGCCTGAATGTCACTGGTGCCTATTGTGGCGGCAAGCAAAGGACGTGCTAGATGACACCAATGGTGATGGCAGTCATCAAGCTGAAGAAGAAAGCAACAAAGTCCATGCTCAATAGTCCAGGTATACAATCCACCATTTTTCAGTCAGGTCAGGTGGAAGAAGAAAGCCTTTTGGGACTTGGCTATCTTGGAGGACTGCTGAAGCAACTGGTGGTTGCAGATACAAAAACAAAAAGGACTTTTGTTGGCCTCGAGGAGGTTCTGGCAAACCATTTGGTGACTCAGAAAAGGAACGGGAAAGGGGTGGATGAGATTTGCCCCAAGAGGCTGAAGGCTCTGGATGTTATGGGGCTGTCATGGTTGACACGTCACTTCAATTTCGCATGGAGGACTGGGACAATGCCTGTGGAGTGGCAGACTGGAGTGGTGTTCCCATTTTTTTAAAAGAGAGAGCAGAGAATGTGTTCCAACTGTCGTGGAATCACACTTCTCACCCTCCCCGGGAAAGTTAACTCAAGGGAGTTGGCAAGGAAACTCAGACTGATTGTAGAACCTTGAATTCAAGAGGCGCAGAGTGGCTTTCATCCTGATCATGGAACAGTGGACCAGATCTTCACCCTTGTGGAGTTGCTAAGGAGGTCACGGGAGTTTGCCTCTCCAGTCTACATTTGTTTTGTTGACCTGGACTGTGTTTCTCAAGGCATTCTCTGGTTGCTTTTCCGATCTCAAAACGTATTTATTAAATTACTGAAAACAAAAATGCTAAGGAGGTAGCAACAAACTTACAAAAACTTCTGAAGGGTGAACACAGGAGGCATAAGGGAACACAAGCAGGACCAAGACATCTGATGACAGTGCAGAACAATGAGCCAACATGGGATGGTGATTAGGAGTGGTTTAAGTAGAACTAAGATGATGAAACCAGCTGAATAAACATTGTGTCATTATTTCAGGACTCTTGGATTCTCATAGGCGTTATCCTTGGCCATTCCCCGACATCCCTCGAGAATGTTTACGGATCTCACCGGAGGACACTGGCTAATTATTCCATCCTTATCAGAACTCTTACATTGTCCTCGAGAGTGTCTATGGGCATTGCTAAGCGCTCTCGTCGTCTCCCTCCTCTGCAGAATATCTACGTCACTATGTGCTTGTTTGTGCGAGGTGTTTTTTATATTACAGTTTTTCTTCTCAGGCAAGAAGAAAAAGTCTGATAGGAATTTTTTTGCCTCCAATTCCTACATGTGTCCAGTTTCACTACTTTTTGTCTGTCTAAACAGATCTCACTTGTAAATGAGTCTTCTAGGTCCAATGTGACTTATCTGTCTAAATAAAGACTGAATGAATGAAAAAAAGGAAAGTAGGAAATGAGAGCACCTGGGATGATTACTAATTACAAACAGGCAGATTCAAAACACAAGGATCAGAAAACAAAATACATATCACCAGAACGGAGACAAAAGAAAACTCAAGGAAAATAACATAAAAAGTAAAGATATGACACTGAGAAGACATTTATTCAATGTGAACAGAGTCTTCCTTCGTCACAGTCTGTTTTTCTGATATTTTATTTACCTAGTTGCTTGAGTTTATCTTTTATCTTTTAGTTTAATTTCCTTGTGGTTTATTATGTTTTATTTTCATCCTCTAGATTCTGCTGTGTTTTCCTGTTCAGCTTAAATCTATATTCTTTTGTACTTATTGTCAGGTTTTGTTTAAATAGAGTTCAGGTTTTATTCCGTGTTTTGTGCCATTTCTCATTTATCCTCAGCCAGCATCCTCAGTGTTTTTCCATTCAGTCTGCCACCCTCACCTGTTCCCAATCTGTAATCACAGGTGTTGGTTGTTTAGCTTTCATTAGTGTCTCTTTACATGCTCGCTCTTCAGTTTGCTTTTCAGTTCAGCATTAGTGTCTCATGCCGTCAGTGTTGTTTGGTTTTCTCCTCAGTGGTCCCTATTTTTTCATTGTTTTTGTTTTAGTAGAGTTTTTGGCTGCCTCAGTAGCACTTAACTTTTTTTTTATATAAAGCCTTTTCTTGTTTTACCTTCAAGCTCCGATGTTTCAGTTCCAATCCTCCATTTACACCAACCTATTGACATCCTGTGGTAATTCAAACTGAACATGATGCTGAAAGTCATCTCTAGCTGATAAGGCTTTTCAGAGTAAAATCCGAGCCCTGAGCTTAACAAAACTGTCTGCAGAACTCAAAGATAAGGCTGTCGATCTGTGGAAGGTCACAGAATCTGCTACATTCAACGTTCTGATAAACATTGACACAAGTAAATTCTTTCTGAAGCTATTTCATCTACCAACTAAATATTTCATTTTGGGCTCATTTTGATCCCTCCAAGCAACATGTTATAATACGATCACTGATTTTAAATAATAATCATTTTAATGATATTTCTTAGCAGGTTTTCTTCTATAATGATGCTTTTTTTTTAACTGATCAAACTAGTTTTAAGCTAATAGTAAGTGAATACAATTTTCATGCAAATGTTAACTTTTTGATCCAACATAAAATTTAATGCAAGACTGAGTAAAGTCAGCACTGTTTGTGTTTTTTGGCCTAATTCAAGCCGTCACTTTTGCATACGCTTATTTTACTTAATGCAATTCAACTTTTTTAACATGCTCTGCTGTACAAATTTGAAGTATTTTAGAGTTATAAGTATCTTACTATTCAAAAAAATCCTAGGAACCTTGTTATGTCATTAGAAAATCACTTTTCCTTGCCAGTCTTGTTAAACCTCGTCTTTTAGCTTGTGTTCAGACATTATTTTGCTCATAAGTTGTCAGTGAGAACATTTTGTTTTAGCTGCATTATGTAGAGAGCGTAGCTGCTTTTTGCTGGTGTTGTTGAGTGTGCTGGCCTTTCAGACAGTTAATGTGCAGCAAGAATCCATTTACCACAAGCAGAATAAAGCGTCTCTCTCTCTTAGGACCATTAGAACGCAGAACTTAGAGCATGGTGTGTTGATGTCCAGGAGTAAACCTGCATCTGGATGGCTGTTACATCGCCTTTAATATAAAACTAATATTGAAATTACAAGTAAATTGTTCATATTGAGCCGGTTTTATTCGTGTAACATTTATAGAGTTTAAAGATTTTATTTTAGCTTCTTGTCAGGAAACACCCCCCCCCCCCCCCCCCCAATTTTTTTTTTTTTTTTTTTTGCATGTAGTATAAAAACATAAACTCTTTCAGCCTTTGGTGAGTCTGACAACAATACCACTAAAGAAGGCCTACTTTCTGGAGGTGTTGTTACCACGGCGCAACCACTAAATGAGTCTGTGTAGTTTAAAATAACTTTAAAAACTACGCTGACAGTTCTCATCTTCACTTTAATTAAAATGTTTGAATGGTTTATTTCATTTGGCAAAAGCTTGAAAGATCTCAACTGAAAGCAGAGTAAACCAACATTAAAGCTCCATCGCTGCAGCAGAGCAAACACCATGGAGACCTACGCTCAATGTTTCTGTCATCAAAACTTTAATAGTGTCCTATATTCTAAGTGCTTAAACCCTAAGAGCGTATTTAAAATCATTTACGGCCGCTGAAAGTGTCAGGTAACATCTACATTTTGTTTGATCTGCTGGAGACTGACGAGATTAGCTGTTTTATAACAAGATTATTTAAGATGAATGTTCTGTTGTCTGCATCTCCAGTTGCAGTTGAAAGTTAGAAAACTGTCTCGAAACTAGTGATCAATATTTAACATGACTCAAATACAACAATTTTGTCTGAACTTAATATCAGCGTTTCTTGATTTTGAAGACGGATTAAAAAAAAAAGTAGCTTCCTTTGTATAAAATCAATACAGCTGCTCTTTAGGAAGCTGTAAATATCTTAAGATGCATAGTAAATGTACAGGAAGCCATTATTCTCTGCCTGATTAAATGTAGATGCAGCCTTGCAATTACCTCTAAAAAGCTGACATGTGTGTTGTATGTCTTCAGTCTTTCAAGCAGACATTGATTTGGCTGCAGGGCTGCTGCTGACGTGCAGTAAAAAATCACAAATTTGACTGATGGCCCTGTTGAAAACAATCTGTCATCATTGAATCTTTTCAATGCTCACATGAGCAGCATCAAGTAATTGATGCAAACGTCAAAGTTCATGCTCAATAATCCAGGTACAAAATCCAACAAAGTTCAGTCAGGTCATCTGGACGGTTTCTTTTTTTTTGTTCTTGTTGAAACATTTCATCGTTCATCCAAAGGACTTCATCAGTCGGAGGAGCCACAACAAACTCAGTCCCATCACATAGTGGGCCAACCATATGTGGTGATAAGATGGTTTCTGGAGTCTGCCCTCTCCCCTTTTGACTCCTCTGAGGCAGCCATAGCCAAAGTGGTTCAAAACATCAAAGTTCATGTTCAATAATTCAGGTATAAAAGCCTGGAGTAAGCCACTCATGGGATTAAGTTTGTTGTGGCTCCTCGGACTGATGAAGTCCTTTGGATGAAGGATAAAACGTTTCAACAACAACACAAAGACAAAAAAACAACCAGAAGACCTGACTTAACTTTATTAACTGATGCAAAGTTCAGTCTGACTGTCAGGTGAGCTTAAAAACAGTAACTTTGTATATATTTACCTCATTTATAGTCAAACTGAGATCTAATGAAAAACAACCAAACATCTGATTTACCTTTAAAGTGATTCACTGGAACTTGAGAAGTCAGTAGAGCTGAAAAGACGCTCAAGACGCCTCCTGCTTCTGATATCAGTTCCCCTGGTGCTCTTCAACTGCTGTTGGTTATTTTGGTTGTGCGGTTATTTGAAAGGTCCCCAGGTTGTACAATCGTAGTTTCCTGAAAGAGAAAAATACACCACAACGCTACCACTGAATGTGTTTTTATGAAATGATTGCCTTCTGCCATGAAAATGGAAAGTAAATTTAATGCTTGTGTGTTTCTTTTATCAAACTGTTTCATGAACCAGCAGCATGGTGGCTCAGAGCTGTTGCCGCTCAGCAAGAAGGTCGCCAGTTCAAATCCCAGACTGGCAGCTTTCTGGGTGGAGTTTTTCTGTTCTTTCCATGCATGCAGGTTTTTTCCGAGTACTCTGGTTTCCTCTCACAGACCAAAAACATGCATGTTAGGCTGGCTGATAACTCTAAATTGTCCTTAGGTGTGAGTGAGAGAGTGAATGGTTGTTTGTGTTGACGTGTCCCTGTGATGGACCGGAGACCCGGCCAGGATGTACTCCGCTTCGCGCACAGTGATAACTGGACCCGAAAAGAAAGAAGCGGGTAAAAATAACGGATGGATGGTTTCATGAACCAGTGGATTAATTTTAGCGACATTCTCGGAAAGTAATTCGATTCAGCTTATTTATGTTTTTTTTTTTTTTTTTAAACAAAACAATTCTATATACAATAAGAAATACAGTCACAAATTAAATGAAAGACAGCAGAAAGAAGAAAAAAATCTCATAATATCTGTCCCTTTTTACAAAAAAAATTAATTCAAACAATAATAATCTTCAAATAACAAAAACAAAACAACTCCTTCTCGAGCAACAATTCATACAAATACACATTCAGCTATTTCTTTTTTTTTTTTTTTTTTTAACAAATCAACTTTGATCATTCTCTTAAACATAAACATTGATCTGGCATTTTTGACATCACTCTCCAGATTATTCCGTAATCTAATTCCTTGGATTGAAGTAGACCGTCCCTTCAAACTAGTTCTGAATTTAGGTTTCATAAAGATTTCCATTCCCTTAAGATTATAACAACTCTCTCTTTAAAAAAAAAATTGGATATTTAAAGGTAACGTGTTATTATGATTTAACAACAAATGTTGTCTCGGGGCACCGCTGTACAAAAACATTCACATACATTATAAAAGCCAGTTAGTAAAGTTCATCTGCTGTTTCTAAGGAGGCCAACAGATTGTGATGAATCTTTACTTCATCGTAGTCTCCCATTCTGAGCAAGGACACTGGCGACAGTGGAAGGAAAAACTCCCTTTTTAAATAGTAAGAAACCTACAGCAGAACCAGGCTCTGGAAAGGCAGTCTCCTGTCTTGACCGGCTAGTTAGAGAGGACAGGAAAGAGATTCAGACAAACACAGAGCGGCT